ATGCTTACCATCTTGTGCGCATTAGACAAGGGGATGAGTGGAAGACCGCATTCAACACTCCCACCGGGCACTACGAGTACTTAGTTATGCCATTCGGCCTCACCAATGCTCCTGCAGTTTTCCAGGCTCTGAAAAAATTATGTCCTTCGAGATATGCTCAATCAGTTTGTATTTGTCTACCTGGATGATATTGTAATTTTTTCAAGTTCCCTCAATGAACACACGGAGCATGCTAGGAAGGTTCTCAGATGCCTCCTCGATAATCACCTTTATGTTAAACCTGAAAAATGTGAATTCCACGTGACCCAAGTGTGATTTCTGGGATTCATCATTAAGCCCGGCCATATACAAATGGATCCTCTGAAGGTTCAAGCAGTCACGGATTGGCCCACTCCTGGGTCTGTGAAGGAGGCGCAGCGGTTTCTTGGCTTTGCCAACTTATACCGCAAATTTTATTTTGAAATTCAGCTCTTTGGTGGCTCCCCTTTCTGCTCTCACTAAAGGGAATAATGTTGGATTTTGCTGGAGTTCTGAAGCTGAGCTGGCCTTTAATGAACTCAAATGCCGCTTTACTTCAGCTCCCATCCTCACTCTCCCAGACCCAGACAAACTCTTCGTTGTGGAGGTGGATGCTTCAGATGTGGGTGTTGGAGCAGTGCTTTCCCAGAGGGGGGAGGATAACAGACTTCGGCTGTGTGCATTCCTTTCACACCGTCTTACACCAACAGAAAGGAATTATCATGTGGGAGACCGCAAGTTAAACTGTTAAACTGGCGCTCGAAGAATGGAGACATTGGCTTGAGGGGGCCAAACACCCATTCCAAGTACTCATTGACCACAAAAATCTAGAGTACATTCAGCAGGCCAAGCGTCTTCATCACTGTTGGGTTCACCATCTCCAGTGGCTCAGGGGTTAAGAGTCTGACTACCACACCAAAGATCCGAGTTCTAGTCCCGGCTCTGACAAGAACAGTCCGTCCTTCGGATTTGGGTAATTTTGTACTCCTTACTGTGCTTACACACCACCGCCGACTTGAGCTGAAAAGAAGTTCTGGGCCCCCTGTCGAGAACGCTTGTCCAAAAGTACGGGAAGCTTGTTGACAATTTGGATCATGGGAGAAGAGGAGTGTAACAACATGAAATGTAAACAGAAAAAAACAAGCAATACATTAGTTGTTGTGTTTGTTGCTGCTGTATTGAATTTGTAGAGAAGACACCGGACTCGGACGCCAACTACCTCAGATATTTTATCCCATGCCTCGTTCTTTTGTAACTGGCCCTTATATGCAAACAATGTCATATCATAAATGATAGGAAACCCAGCAATGGCGATGATGAGCTTCTCCTCCATTTTCTCTGAACTACTGTTTTGGTAGGAATGAAACTTTATATCGTATGTTTCTCCACAATTAGTCCACGCGAAGGAAGTCTATATCTGATCGGTTGCTGGCGTTTTTGCAGCTGAACTGCGTCATAGCTACTTTCAACTTTATGATTGACGCTCTGGTCCCTCAAAACGCCTAAAACGGTGGATTTGACGCTCCTTGCAGCGGAGAGAAGAGAAAAGCCAGCTTCCACTGAAAATTAATGACTTCCAGTAGCTTTGGAAGCTCAAGTCGGCGGCGATGTGTACGTTCAGTAACACATGCAACAGTACAATGATCACTTACTGAAAAATCACCAACAGCAACATATTCATGTTCTGTATTTGTTAAAATAACATCAATGATTGTATTTACCTGGCTGTAAAGGATTTATCCTGGTAACACAATTTAGAAGCTGTGTTAGATTTAAAGAATCACAAACCCGCTTTATGTTCTCAGATTTCTTGGTCATCCAATCCCAGTTCAAGTCACCTAGCAAGATCAATTCAGATGAATGATTAAGCCTCTGACAGGCTAGTGATGCTATCATTAATGGCAGAAGCGGGCTTATAGCAACTGATGAAAATAAGTGGAACATTTGTGATTCTTATTTCCACTGCTAGAAGTTATAATTGCTTAAGACAGAAGGTTTTAACTAGGGCTGTCACTTTACGTTCGAAAATCGATCGCACAATCGATCGGACCAACCAACACAAGTTTCGAAAACGCAAAATGTAGGATGTTGGAAAATAACAATGTCTTTTCTGTTGACCAAATGTTTTTTTTTTTAAATATTTGCTTTTACTTCAATGCAAGTGAACAAGCATGCCATTATTTGTTGCGTAGTGACGTGTGTGTTCAAGTAAGCCAGAAATGCGCAGATTCTGCTCAATTTGTTGTATTTAATATATCATGATCTCACGAGTTGTGTATTTTCTCTAAATCCATGCAGATTTGGCTCACACGAACTTCCCCAGCAAAGTGAGTAAACATAGAAACACGCCACATTGGCTCGTGATCAGCGTTTCCCGCCAAAGTTCATTTTCACCCGCATTTAGCGAGTTGGAGGAAGTTAATCTCAATCCCTGAATTTTGTGCTCCTGTTTGTTATTGTGAAAGAAACTTCACGCCAATAAATCATCAGAAATATTGCTGACTTGTGTGCCTCTCAAGCGCCCTCTTTACGTTCGTCCTAATGCCTGTTAGGTGTCCGTGGATTTGCCTATATTTGGTGTTGAAAATGGAAACGACTTCACTTCAGACATGGAAAATCGGTTTTACAATCGATTCAATGAACACTTATGTCTCAAAAATCGAACAGCAACAGCTTTAGTTTTAACTAAGTTTCAGACACTACAACATCTAGGTTTAGAATCATCCCAGACAGCAAACTGACATTGAATCAACGTGGAAACGACGTCTCTCATGACATTGAAACAACTTTGATTTTGCTCATCGAATTAACGTTGAACCAACGTCAGACGCGGCATTCTTCAAAGCTAAATGAAAATCGAAAATTGGTTTGCTTTCATAACGTTGAAACAACGCGTTGATTTCAAGTTGATTTTCCGTTAGTTTTGAAAGAATGACGCGTCTGACGTTGGTTCAACGTTAATTCGATGAGCAAAACAATGTCAGATCAACGTTGTTTCGATGTCATATTTCCACGTTGATTCAATGTCAGTTTGCTATCTGGGATGGTTTAGAGATCATGAACCAAGTTTTAAATATATCTAATTTGGGAATAAGACTTCTAGCATGTATGTGAAGAAATAGGATTAACATTTTAGAGAAAAATCTCGACGCACTAGATACCTTGCTGTAATGTACAGGGGGCCAATGAATATCCCTACAGGAAAACACATCCAGAACCAATAATTCAAAAGCATCTAAAATGAGCACATTGTACAGGGAAGCATTGGTCAGATCAGCATTTAACTGTCCATTTGACAGTAAAGAAACCATTAATATGGCTAAGAACACATGCATCTTCAACTTGTGGCCCACTCAGGATGCAGCACAATCGATTTGTTTGCCCTCAGAATTATAGATTTTAGCTAAGATTGTTTTTACACTGTTTTTGGCAGAAAATAGGTTTAAGAAATATACTGTTGTGAATATTTGCATTGCAAAACTCTGAATATTACTGAACTTCTTTAATAATTGCTTTCTGAATTTTAATTTTCCTGTTAACAGATCCTGTTTTAGGATCATTAGGATTTTGTTTTTCATTGCGACATGATATACAATTAAGTCAATTAAGGTCAGATTTCGATAGAGTGAGTCAGAAGTCATGCGTGTAAAGAGCGGGCAGCTCAGAGGCCAAGCCCTGTGTTTGCACTTTCACCTGAATTCTCCGGGGTCATGTGACCCAGCATCCAGAAGAAAGAAGCACTTCCTCTTTTACAGGTGATTAAGAGTCAAACATTCCAGAACAGCAGGAAACTATTACCGTGGTTACTTCTGACCTGCATACAGCCCATAATCACACTCGACTCTGAAGGATATCTGATCATCAGGTTTCAGCCATCTGACGCCTCCTACTGGGGAAACATCAAGATATTTCAGGATTACATGACAATTTATATGAAAAGTAAACTGAAATTATGTTTTCTTGTAAAACACACTTCAATAATCTTCTTTTTAAAGTGTATGCTGAGTGTTTCCATTAATAACAGCGAGTTAAGAATCCTTACACACCAGATTTACATGAGGAGGAGGAGGAGGATCTAAATGCTCATTATCTTCTTCACGGAGCTTCAATGCTGTGGATGCTGTTTGTATTCTGTTCACTGTGTGTGGAAGATTCAGACATCTTTTGTTCAAGCAGTCCAGCGCTGTCGTCAAGGGGACGATCAGGAATGTCGCAGGTCCTGTGAGTGACGAGGGGCCTCACTAAGGTCCTATACAGTAGAGTCTGATTACTGGCACAGGAGGGGGGTCCCATAACAATGAGCTCTCGTTCCCGGGAACTACAAACAACCCGCTCTTCAGTCTATATATATAAATATAAATATATATATATACACACACATACTTTTATTTTGGATGCGATTAATCATTGGCCAGCACTAATATAAATAAATATGTACAAGCACACATATAAATACTCATATATCGGGTTAATACAGAATAAACAGTATAAAATTTTTCTTTAGTATGAAATTCTCTGATTTGTATAACTTCAGCAAAAATTAAAGGCAACAGATATAACCAAGATATATAAATACTTTAAATTATTTCTAATTAATTCAAATATGAATATATTTATTAGTATTATTTAATATAAACTCATTATAATTTATACAAAAAATAAAAATTGTATAAAAAAATATATATTTTAAATGTAAATAAAATATGTAAAAATATTACAAATTAAAATAATAATAAAGTAATGCAAAAAATCTCATTTTGATTACTGTAACGTGGAATATATACATAGATTCTATAAGTTTGAAATTGTAAAGATATTCTTGTTTTTGAAAGAGTCTCTTCTGGTCATCAAGACTGCATTTTTATTTGATCAAAAATACAGTAAAAATATGAAATATTATTAAAATTTAAAACAGCAGTTTTCTATGTGAAGTGTAATTCATTCCTGTAATCAAAGCTGAATTATTAGCATCATTACTCCAGTCACCAGTGTCACATGATCCTTCAGAAATCGTTCTAATATTTTTTAAATAATATAGTTTTTTTACACATTAAAAGTGCTTTGATCAGAAGTCAAAACACATGTGGCTATATTTACAGTGTAAACACTAATGTCCTCCCCTCCACCCACTCCTGTCAATCATTCACTGTATTTAGCAGATTCGGCACTTAAATTGACTGACTGAGTTTCTGAAGTCACGCTCAGAGTTTGATTAAATCAGCAGAAATATCCCTGTTAATAGCGAAGGAAGTTTAAGAGGATCGGGCCTCTAGATCAGACCCTCCATTGTGTTTGCTTTCTATTTGATTCGCACATGACCGTGAAACAACAATAGACGTTTAGGGGCCCAGATGAGATACATGAAACAAACAGGGGCCCGTGTGTCCGCGTCATTTATAGGACTAACCCGTCTTTCTAAAGCAGTGAGGAGTTTTCCAGGACAGGAATGTCTATTTTCCTTACAATGCCAGACACTAAACACACAAACACACACACTAGGGCTTCTGAGGGGTCCAGCATTTCTGGGGGTTGATTTTGGGAAGCGGTATTCTGGGAAACAATGATGGGAACGGCAAGTTAGTATGTAAAGACAAAGATGTATATATATATAGTGCTGTAGTAAACACAGAAAAACGCTAAACATGAGCTCACGTTTTATTCTGATCTCTTTTAAACTAGTTCTAACACTGTTTTGCTAATGTTCTTATTAAGCTTTGAAAACTTCATTTTTAATGTACAGTCGTGCTCAGAAATTATGGCACTCCTGGTAAATATGATGAAAATTGGCTGTAAAAAATAATTCTGCATTGTTTATCCTTTTGATCTTCCATTCAAAAAATTGGCAAAATTCTAACCTTTCATTGAAGCTAAAGAATTGAAAGTGGGGGTAAATCACACTATGAAATAAATGTTTTTCTCCAAAACACTCTGGCCATAATTATTGGCAGCCCTAGAATTTTTTGAGAAAAATATCTCTGAAGTAAATGGTAAATGGACTGCATTTATATAGCGCCTTCATAGACCTAATGGCCACCAAAGCGCTTTACATTTTGCCTCACATTCACCCATTCATACACTCATTCACACACCGACGGCGGTGTCAGCCATGCAAGGCGCCAGCCAGCTCGTCGGGAGCAGCTGGGGTTAGGTGTCTTGCTCATGGACACCTCGACACTTGGTCAGGTGGAACCGAGGATTGAACCACCAACCTTTCGGTTCGTGGACAACCCACATGAACCACTGAGCCACTGCCGCCCAAGTACATTCCCATTAATATTTAATTTTTTAAGCAAATCAGGGTGACTAGGAACATGAAATTGTCCAGCTATGACTTCTTGTTTCAAGGAGTTTAAATATGAGGAAGCACAAAGGTCAAATTCCCTGAATCATCCATCATCACAATGAATAAAACCAAAGAACATGGTTCTGATGTGCATCAAAAGATTGTTGAGCTTCACAAAATAGAAAGTGGATGTAAGAAAAATAGCTAAAGAATTGAAAATCCCCATTTTGACCATCAGGACAATAATCAACTAAAGATGTTATGATTCTCGCAGGAAGAGGACGTGTGTCTATTTTGCCTTAATGGACGGTGAGGATGAAAGTTTGAGTGTCCAAAGACTCTTCAAGGATCCCAGATGGAGAATTGCAGAGATTAGTTGAGTCTTGGGGTCAGAAAACCTAAGAAAAAAATATCAAACAACCCCTACATCCCCACATGTTGTTTGAGAGGGTTTCAAGAAAAATGCTCCTCGCTCCTCCAAAAACAAACTCCAGCATATTCAGGTGTCAGACACGACTGGATCTTCAAAAGGGACCGGATTCTGTGGTCAGATGAAACTAAAAAAGGGGCTTTTTGGCAGCAAACCCAGCAGATGTGTTTGGTGCAAACAGGGATGAAGAGTACCCCATGCCTACGGTTTAATATACTGCTGGATCTTGTATGTTGTGGGCCTATTTATTTGCTGGAGGTCCTGGACATCTTATTCCAATACATGCTATTATGGATTCTATCAAATACAAAAAGATAAAAAATAAAAACCTGACGCCTTCTGCTAGAAATCTTATAATGGGCCGTGGTTGGATCATCCATCAGGACAACGATCCAAAACAAAAATCAAAATCAACACAAAAATTAGTTACGGAGCACAAAATGAAGCTTCTGCCATGATCGTCCCGACCCTGACCTGATGAGTGGAGTGAACTGAAGAGATGAAGCACCAACATTGATCTGGGAATCTGCAGGATCTGGAGAGAGTCTGTATGGAGGAATGGTCTCTGATCTCTGGTCAGGTGTTCTCCAAACTCATCAGGCATTATAGGAGAAGACTCAGATCTGTTATCTTGGCAAAAGTTTACAGATCTGAGGTTGCAAAAAGTTTTTAATAACAGGGTGCCAATAATTATGGCCAGAGTGTTTTGGAGAAAAACATTTATTTCATAGTGTGATTTACCCCCACTTTCAATTCTTTTGCTTCAATGAAAGGTTAGAATTTTGCCAATTTTTTTCAATTATCATTACCAGATAATGAATTAATAACAAATTAATTGATATGGAACAGTAAGTAAATCTAACCTTACCTGGATATAATCATGTTACGCATTACATACTATATAGCAAATCTTAACTGCTGAAATGTTAAATTGACAATTTATTAACTATATAATAAGCTATTAAAAGTCTACTGTGTACATACAGTACACTCTTGTAAAGCATATATATATGAAGAGTAAGGATTCAAAAGCCTCTAAAGGCACTTTAGAGTGCCATTTGCAATTTTCTTTCTAGAATGATCATTTTTATCAAGCTTGTATATTTATAGAACCTAAATAGGTTCTGTCAGCGCTACGTATTTGGAACCCCTAAAAGGTTCTATACAGAACCCAATAATAAGAAGAACCCTTTAGGGTTCTTTGTAACCAGGAAAAAGGTTCTATATAAAACCTGAACAGCAAGACCCTAAAATGTATTTATGAATGCATGTAAATGATCACAAATTCAAGATACAGGGGTTAGAAAATATGTATATTTATATCATTTTATGTAGTTAATCAATATCACACGAAGCCACATGTGCCATTTCAGTTTTACTCCTCCAAAAATCAGCATGATTAAAATGTGATATTAAGTTACTACAACAGTTTAATAAACAATAATTTAATTACAACTACAAAATGTTGCAGAATAATGCAATATATGAATGAATAAAAGCCTATAAAGGACCTTTGTGCCAAAAGGGTTCTTTCTTGTCATTATAGAACCTTTTTTAGCATAAAAGGTTCTTTGGAGTTGAGTAAAGAACCCTATGCTTCTATATAGAACCCCAATGAACCCTTTTTTCTAAGAATGTTATCTTCATTGCTATTTAAGTGAAATTGCTGAATTTAAACAAGCTTGATAAAAATGATCATTCTAGAAGAAAATTTCAAATGGCACTTATGAGGCTTTTGCATCTGAACTCTACACACACATATATATATATATATATATATATATATATCCTACTTCTACTGCGTACAGTACACTGATACTGTAAGATATTATAAAGACATTAAGATATTACAAATATCAACATCGTGATTTTATGTAAAGCTGCTTTGAAACTTTAATGTGAAAATAGAATTATAAATAAATCTGGATGAATCTCAGTGTTTCTCCTCAGTGGGAAGGTTCGTGCAGTTTTAAAAAATGAGGTTTACCATCTACACACACACAGACACACACACACACACACACGACACAGTTACCCTTTACCTGAACTCTCTGAGATCATGTGATGCTGCCGAACTGAGAACTTCCTCTTCACAGGTTATCAGAGTCAAAACAGTCCGGAGCACCAGGAAACGCGTTACCATGGTTACCCACGACCTCCACGCAGCCCATAATAGCTCTGAACTCGCAGTGAAGGGTGTGTCTGGATCAGCAGCATCTAAATTACAGACAGTACATCATTAATGACAGCACAAAGTTAAATTTACAATAAAATATCAAGTAACGCAAGTTACCCATGTGTTGACTGACAGCTCTGCTTTCCCCATGATCAGAGGAATCTGGAGTAAGTGAATAAAAATTAAATGCAAACTCAGATTAACGTGAAAAAATTAAATAACATAAGTATACTTTATGCATTTAATCTCACTTTATTTACCAGTGTCTTTGATTCTGACATTCAATGACCCACTTTATATTTAATTTTGAATGATACCAAATATGTTTAGTTATAATGTTATTATTATCAGCCCAATGAGAAAAATTGCCCGATATATTAAAGCTGATAAATAATGTATTGATAATGTAATGATGCGCACTGTTAAACATGATGATTTTGAATTGCTTGAAATATGATTGAAATCACTTCAAAAATAGGTGATACGTAAATACAGTAAAGTACAACATGTGCAGCGCAATCTGTCATATCGGCTACATAAAAAACATAACAAGAACATTATAAAGGTGCACTTTGGAGATGGATTTTAATGGTAGGAACATAGATAAATGTTCCGATAAATATAAATCCAAACTTTATATCATGTTTGAGAGCTTGATTGTCCCATGCACACATTTATAATGTTCTCGTTATGATGTTATGTAGCCGATATGACAGAATGCGCTGAACATGTTGCACTTTACTGTATTTTTCTTTTTTGAAGTGATTTCAATAACATTTCAAGAAATTCAAAACCATCATGCATCAGAAGTGTCTCAGCCAAAGGAAATTATCCATTATTTATCAGCTTTAATATATAAGACATTTTTTTGTCAGACCGATAACGATAACATAAAAAAAACATATATCAGCCGATACTGATTTGGTGGTCGATATATCGTGCATCCCTAATTTTTATTATAGGACTATGGTTCATTTATGTGAAAACATGCAGTTCCTTAGATGTTAAATAAACCGCAGCAGTGCGACTTGTCTCGGTCAGAATCTGTTAAACGTAAAGACAGATGATTAAAGCAAAACCACAGTGATGCAGATTTGTAAACAATACATCATCATGAGGGATGAAGAGGGCAGTGGATGAGCTGGAGTAACACTGCCCTCTGCTGGACAGGTGAAGCAAACGCTCAAACATTAGCAACACAAACACGTCAATGCTGTGACTTATTATTAGCTCTTGTTTATGTCTTTCATTATGATGGAGTAAAAGAAAAAGTGAAACTTTTTTAGGCATCATTTCCCTTTCTGTACTTTAAATTATTCTATGTATACTCTATTGTGATAAGACATATATGAGAAAAGTATGGGCTAAAAAACATTTAATCACTTTGAAAGACTTCTTAAATACTGAAAATTAATCCAATAAAAACTTTACAATTTAAACTAACAAAGAGAAACACATTGGTTACAGTATCTATTAATATTTGTTATGTTAATGTCATAATGTCAGCTAATAAAAACAAAAACTGTTTGTTAGTTCATACCAGCTCAAGTCAATTAAATAATATTAACAGATACAACTTTTGATTTTAATAATGTATAAGTAAATGTTGAAATTAACATGATTAATATACAGTATGCTTTAATATCATTTATAAGTATAATGTATGACTCTAATAATTAGTTGCAAGAATTAGATGCTTTGTTTCCAGTCAAGACTTAGAGAAACTTGTGCATGCTTTCATCACCAGCAGGGTGGTTTACTGTAATGGCCTCCTCACTGGCCTTCCTAAAAAGACTATAAGACAGTTGCAGCTCATACAGAACGCTGCTGCCAGGATTCTGAGCAGGACCAGAAAATATGAACACATCACACCAGTCCTCAGGTCTTTACACTGGCTGCCAGTTACATTTAGGATTGATTTTAAAGTATTATTACTGGTATATAAATCATTTAATAGGTTAGGACCTCAATATATTGCAGATATGCTAACTGAATATAAACCCAACAGATCGCTCAGATCATTAAGATCACATCAGCTAGAAATACCGAGGGTTCACTCTAAGCATGGAGAGTCTGCTTTTAGCTATTATGCCAGCCACAGCTGGAACCAAGAAGAGATCAGGTGTGCTCCCACAGTAGTCACATTCAAATCCAGACTCAAAACACATCTGTTTAGCTGTGCATTTACTGAATGAGCACTGTGCCACTGTTCGTCCGACTATTACTGTACTTCATTTTGTGTTGTTTTAATTATTTACTGTATTTTATTTTTATTATTATGATTTTTTAATTATTCTGTTTTAATTATTCGGATTTCTTTTGATTATTTTAATTTCTTCCATGTAAAGCACTTTGAATTGCCACTGTGTATGAAATGTGCTATATAAATAAACTTGCTTTGCCTTGCCTAATAAGACATATGATAAAAGTTTGAGCTACATTTATATTTCTAATGATTTTAAATGAAAAAATGAAATTTAATATAAGGTCCAATCAGTAATATCAGCTCAGGTCCATTAAATGATATTAACAGATACAACTTTTGATTTGAATAATGCATTAGTAAATGTTGAACTTAAAATTTGATTAATAAATATTTTTCATTGTTAGTTCATAATATTAACAAGCTTATTGTAATGTGTTATCAAATAAACTGCCATATTAATTACTTTACAAAACTTTAATGTTATTATATAGGCTATTATTAGCATCCCAGGACAAAGAAGGTTTAAATTATGTTGGATTTTCATCACAGCATCACTCCAGACTTACATTATATGTGTGTGTTCCTGTAAATGTGGGATTAGGAGTCCTCTGGGAAGAGCTTGGACATTGACCAGGAAAACAACACATGAATGAACACAAGAACATCAGGAAATATAATATGACTGAGTTTCCTGATATTCTTGTGTTCTTTCATATTTATAAGTCTGATCTCAGCAGGGCTCATATTTTAATCTGCTCCTCCACCTCACTTAGTTTTGGTTTGATGAAAGGTCCCGTTACCCTTGTAGACGTGGAGTCGCCCTCATTTCTGTGGTTAAAGTGTCCGCTGATCATTGATCTCTGATACTGTTATCAGCCGTTGATATAAACAGCGTTCGGCTCAATCCCGGTCTCACTGGAAACCTTTGAACATGATCCCGGCAAATCAGCGCCTGCTCGTCTTTCTGCTGATCTCTCTCGTGGCCTTGCAGGTACAGCGCTTCACTGGCAACTGTGGGAATATCAGAAATTATAAAGGCACTTTTTTTGGGGCAAAGAATGTAAAGCTACGAAGCCCCTAAAGGGACATGATGATATAATGTTTTAAAATTGGCGGGAAAAAACATATTTCAGTGCTTTTGCAATGTAAATTTTCAATGATGGTTGAAAAAAAAAAAGGGAATTATTGGAGGAAAAAAATCTAATTTGAAATATCATTGAAATGGCAGTATCATTTTTCCTCCCATCTCATATTTTTTTCATCAGCGTGTCCCTTTAGGAATTCCGTACTTTTATCATGTTAGTTTATAGCCTTAATTTGTGATCAATTTAGACAATGACAAGAATTGTTTTTGTAAAGTTAAAGAGTTGTTGATGTCAACTTCTTACTTTGAAACTTACTTTTCATAGTTTTATCATTTGTATTAGTGTAATTAAAATTGTATTTTTGCATACAATTAAATCAAACTAATTACTAAAAGATTATTAAATACCAACTAGTCAATTGTCAAAAGTAGTTTCTCTGTTGTTGTTTGCAAAGCTTGCAACATTTGACCTGCTGATAATAAATGCATCAAATTTAAATGTTTTACTGCTGATTATAAAAGTTATTTATGGGCATCGATGGTTTTCAATAAGAACCTTAACAAACTTTTCAATCCACAAAAGGTTCTTTATAATGGAACAATTACTCAAATGCTCTTCACATCGGTGATAAAACATATCAGTCGAGATGTTATTTGCAAACGTAACCGGATCCTTTCGTGATCTGCACGTGAATGTTTCCTCCAGCTGGAAAAACAAGGATCTGTTCTCTTCGGTTTCCTGTGATTGTCCATGAGAACTGAAAAAAAAGTAACACACACGCCGATGAGGATCCAAAGGCTTCGGTCAATCATTGTCAGCACAGCTGTTGCACAATGTTTGACACGCCATTGTCGATTTTCTAAATTTAGTAGCTCAAAAGTCTAAATTTGTCAATTCGGGACATTGATCGCCCTTCAAAGTGCCGTATTATTGTGATGTTTAAATAACCTTCATCTCTGGATCTCAGTGAACTGAAAGTGAAGTTGTGCTCGGCTTTTCTTCCCTACAGCGTTGTATATCCAAATGAAAACTGCTTCTCAAACAAGAATAAATGTAGGGGCGGGGCTTGATTTTGTCTGTGTTGAATTGATTGGACGGTTGCTATTTTCTATTGGCTGATCTCATGTGATTGACAGGTTGTCTCTCTCCGTCCACAGGTCCAGTCGGCACCCGTAGATTCTGACTGGGCAACTGGACTGATCCATCGGGCCAAACGTTCGTTACTATGGCGATGGAACACTCTGAAACCTGTGGGTTCTGGATGTAGAGATCACTATGAGTGTGGAACAAACTACTGCAGGTGAAGCATTAAAAGGGCCAAAAAATGCATTTAAAGTTTGACTATATGCATGTTTCAAATACTCTTAAAATTGTTGTTTATAGTTATTTTAATCCCTTTAAAGGGATAATTAAATGCTTAAAATTAGGGTCCATTCGTTAACGTTAGTTAATGCATTAATATCTTTATTTATTCGTCTTTGTTAATGTTATTCAGTAAAAACACAACTGTTTATTGTTAGTTCATGTTAGTTCCGATACATTAATTAATAAAAGCAACTTGATTTTTAATGATGTATAATTAGAAAATGAATATTAACTTAGATTAATAAATGCTTTTTCATGCAGTTAACTAATATTAACAAACATAAAACTGTTACCAGAAAAAAATGAATACTGATATGCAATGACGCTTTGAATTCAGGTTCGATTTGTTAACATTAGTTGAAACATTACATGAACGAGCAAACTGCAGCATTTAGATCATTAATCTTAAATGTTTATTTCAACATTTAGTAACATTTCTAAAAAAATCATAATATTAGTTAATGCACTGTGAAATAATATGAACAACAAATATTAATAACTAATATTATGAATACATGCTGATTAACTATTGCTCATTGTTAGTTCATTTGAGCTAATAAGAAGTTATTATAAAGTGTTGCCGAATGTTAGTAAGTATTTGTAGGTTTGGCAGACATGATTTTTGTAAACAGTTATAGTAATTGCTCAATGAAAACTTGACCGTTGGTTGACATGAGGACGTCAGTAAAGTTCACAAATCCAAAGACTTAAGGTTGCTTAAGGTTTGATGTTTTCCCTCCAATAAATTACGTCAGTCACTTCCTTAGACAGACCAGAGAAGATAAATGATTTGAAACGCACCTAGTTCACTTCATTGTGATAGAATATGTGTTTATTTATTAATAGTTAATATTTAATACGTTAACATAAAATAATGCAGATTGTGACTGACTAGATATGGACTAGATACACACGCGTACGGCGCCTCACGCTGACGGCGCTCTGAGAAAAACGAATTAATCGGGAAATAATGCATCGACACACAGCCCTAATCACAAAAACACACTTTCACACAGAAACCTCAACCTTTCAAAAGACTGATAAGACGAAGTTTATCAGAGAAAACTTTAACCGCTGCGTGAATCAGCAAAACCGGAGCAAATAACATTATGATACACTTAAGCATTAGTGGAAAATTTTCACACGCATTTCATATTTGTTTTATTTTTTTAAATGATTTTCAGCATATTGTTGTGTAAGTATTAAAGTTAACTTACCAACCCTTTCCTCTCTTTCAGGAAACACACATGCGCCTTTAATAAAGCTCAACCGGCGTAAATGACGTGATGAATCTGGCGCCAAATTCAAATTATGGAAAACAAAATGGCTAAAAATCCCCATCCCTCGATTTCTCAAACATCAGAACCTACATCCAACATCTAAAGACAGACCTACATGAAGTGTATTCAGGTGAATCTCTCCAAGAAATGTACATGTCATATTAAACTCCAAAATAAAAAAGTGATAAAATACTTCTCATTTTGATTTTGGAGTGAAATTTGACAATATTCTTGACAGATTCGATCCTTCAGAAACTCAGGAACATGCCAAGAACTCCAAGATCATCATCAGCCACCATTAACAGCGTTGTGCACATCTTGATAACATGTAAAATATTAACTTTGCATGCTCCTGTTTCCGATTCAATGAGGCCCATGTTTGATCTGATAAAATACATTCATCTATGGCAAAATATTATGTAGTAAATGTATTTTATTTTCAGCCGCATTTTCCCAAAGAATAAGTATTTTATTTATTTTGTAAATATCAGACACATAAAGTGAGATGGTGTAACATGCTTTATTTTTGTTAATGTCTTATTGTTTGTCTCATTAACTTGTTACATTGATAGTGCAATACATTTTTTAAAGAAAGTCATAAACTACAATGCTCACATGATGAAATAAATTGATAAAACAATTATTTAAAAAAAAAAAAGAATCATTAACATTTCTTTTATAAACCTAAAACAGCTGTTGTCATCATCACTGGGTCTTTATTCAGAAGCACATTCGACATGATTATTTCACAATTTTAATTAAAAGCTTGAATTATTATTTCCATAAAGTTAACAACGGTCGCTGATGGACATTACGTCACCTGAAAATGAATCTGACACATCTGGGGGCTCGTCCGGGAAAGATGATGGTAGACTGAAGGTCATTTGAGGATAAGTAAAACTGAAATCAGACCACAGTTTCAGATCATGTGGTAATATTGTTAAATTCACCAAAACAAAACAACTAGTAAACCCTCATCCCTTTTCAAACATAAAAAACACCATAACCTCCATCCACCAAACACCTGGACATTATGCATTACGAGAATAACAGATAAAGTGAACCAAGCAGACATGAGGCTTAATAAACATCAGATTAAAACTGATCAGTGCATGTAAATGAATATTGAACATAGTGAGACTGTTACTGAGTTCAAGCTGAACTTTCTCAAAGCTGTAGTAATACTGAGCTGTTGAAACTGTGAACCACTAAAAATAAGTTGTGTATAGAGTGCAAATCCAGGTCTTCATTTCTTTTAGTGGCAAATCAAAAACATCAGCCTGTTAACTGTCCAGGTTTAGGCCTACTGTATATACATTCTAAAAATTCTTGGTTTGCATCAAAGAAAATCACTTAATATGGCAACCTTAGTGCAAATACATCACTGCACCAAATCAAAGATGGTGGCAATTTGGTCAGCAACAGGATTTTCAAACACACAATGATCCTGAATGTTAGTGACTGTAAATATACGGACTACAACTTACATTAGTACTGAAATCGGCACCACTGTCAGTTTATTTGGCAGATGAGCTCATGGTAAAGAATTGCATAAGCGTATTAATAATATAGTTATCATCAGTGGGTATGTGTACCATATCACATATCGATACCTGTGATGTGCAATGTGTTGCATCACTGCCACTCCATTAGTGTTTACTGATTTATTTCATAACGTAAAACTCTAATACTAAACTGGCTAATTTGGAGGCACTTGCACTTTTTGGCTCTATGATGGCACTTTGAGCCGTCTGATGCTTCAATCTCTGCTCTTCAACTTTTCAGTCTCGCCGTGTGAAAACCAAAGCATCCTCGAGGTCTGAGCGAATGTTAGTTGGTCCTGATATCGCCCGGTTTATGGCCACGTCTGGGGAGATTATGATGAAAGCAGGGGCTGCCGCTCAGCCGCAGAGCTCTAGAAGATCAGAGCAAACACAAACACGTTAAGAAACAGCAATGGCCCAATATTTGTGTGTGCTGTGGTTATGAATGTCACTGTTATGACGGGTTCAGACTACACTCGTTTCCTGAAGTCAGTCACTATCAGTCAAAAATATTGTGTAGCCTCAACCTGGCATTTACTTACGCCAATTCTAACAACAAACCCTACTGACTGGAGTTTTCCTAAGTTTCAAATGAAATGTACAATATCTATGAAGCATTAATACTGCTTATGTAAAAGTATTTACTTCATCCGTCCATGAATTTTTAAGTGACGTGTGTTATATTATATTATATTGCTATTAATCGCATCTAACAAAAAAGTTTGTTTATGTAATGTATGTGTGTATATTATTATAATTATATATAATAATAATATATATATATATATATATATATATATATATATATATATAGTTTTGATTACATAATATATTTGTTTGTGCTGTGTATAATTATTTTGTATATATAAATACACACACATGCATGTATATATTTAGGAAAATGTGTTATTCATCAATAAAATAGTTATATTTATATATAATATAGATGATGTATTTATATTATACTATATTATATAAAAATTTTATTTTATTTCTTTCATTATAGTCTATCATATAATATTTTTGTGCTGTCAAATCGATTAATCACGATTATTCACACCTAACATATATGTGTGTATATTATTATAATTATATATTATAATCATTTATATACACTATATTATTACCACACTATATAATAATATATATATATATACAGTATATATATATATATATATATATATATGTTTGTGTGTGTGTGTGCGTGACAGTGTGTTTGTATATATATATATATATATATACACACAAATATTATAAAAAAAAAAACACAAACTTTTATGTTGGATGCAATTAATCGATTTGACAGCCCATATATTATTATATTATATTATGCTAAACTAAGCGTATATAATATAATATACATTTTAATGTTTTACATTTTAGATTTCAATTTTAGTTAAATTTTGTAGTTATTTTTAGCTACTCAGTTTTATTTCAGATACACTAAAAATAATTTGCCGTAGAAACTTAAAATTTTCACTTAACAATTGATAATAAATTTAAAAAAATACTTACAAGTAACAGGTTGAAATGAACATGAAATTCTGATTTTGTATTTTCTTGTAAAACCTACAACGAGATTTATTTATTGAATTTAAGTAAAGATGAGAACACAGGAAGTGACATCACCTGTGGCAGCTGCTGTCGGCACATGAGTACGATGAAGATCACGCCCAGTAAGATGCCAACACTGATCACTATGAAGGGGATGTTGACGATCACGTCAGCCTCAGTAACCACCGCTTTCAGCTTCTTGGCAGATTCCTCGTCAATAACCACGCTCTGCACAACAAAAGGAAGCGTTTACGAGATCAGAGGGGACACACTCCTTCATCCTGTCTGATAGTGAACACACTCAAACTCAGAAATAACTTCAATGAGTTCAATGCAGATCTCGATCTGCAGAACTGAGCAGGCCTGTCGTGATTCCTGATTGGTTGTCTGATCATCTGAGATAACCGCAATAATTATGTTGTTTAAATTTCCATCCTATTTTGCCTTAAAGACATGCCATTAAATGCACAATATCATGTTTCATGTTAAAAATAATTAAATAAATACACTGACTAAGATAGTCAAATGTCTTATTTTATTTGAAAGGAAGGCTTTTTTTGGTTTAATTATATTATGCTCAGTGAAATTTTAGTTTTATTAAAGTTTCATTAATATTTAATATTAGCTTTTATCACTTCCGATCCGATCCCGATACCTGACTTTGGATATCGGCCGATACCGATACTTTTCCGATACCAGAGCTGTGTTTGCTTTAATATTATTTATCATTATTGTTGATTTTATATGATGCTGAAATAAACTCCTCTCTACAGGCAAGGATGATATGTAGGTATGTCAATATATGAAGAGTTCAGATGCAAAAGCCTCTAAGTGCCATTTGAAATTTTCTTCTTTAATGATGATAATGATGAACTTGTATATTTAAGTTCAGTGATTTCACTTAAATGGCAATGATAATTACCTATTAATTGTTATTTAAGTGAAATTACTGAACTTAAATATACAAGTTTGATAAAAATCATCATTAAAGAAGAAAATTTCAAATGGCATTTAGAGGCTTTTGCATCTGAACTCTTCATATATATATATATATATATAAATATTAAACAATAGATAGACAATTTAACAAAGATACATATTATACAGGCCTACACAGTGCTTTAATTTCAGGAAGGTCTACTAACATTATTCAGGTATGGTCTAAAAAGAATTATAATAAAGTAATCAAAAGTAGGCTATAAATAGCACTGCAAAGTTTATCATAGATAGATTTATGCTTATTAAAGCTGAAGTAATGAGTGATTTTCTCTTTGCCTTTTGTTGTTTGATTCTCAGTAATGTCGCGATCAAAGCTGAAACAGTGTTAGTACTGTGAAACTCATTTATGTAGATGCATTTTACAGATACTGATGAATTTCATGTGTTCACTTTGACAATAAAACATTAAGCATGATGTGTGTGTAATTATTTCTTTAGACAAGGACAGAAGATCAGACCAGCTTAAAAAAAGTTGGAAACCATCACAGAAATTCGAATGGTTTTGATTAAAATGCCAATAGGAACCATTTGCTTTTACCATTTAAACCACTACAGCGGAGACACAGACACCACTATAATTCCCATGAAAACTATTAAATCCAATAGAATTTCTTTTTCCTGTGGGAAGAAACTTGTTAAACTGGTGGGACTGATCTTTTTCTATATTGAAAAAGATGTGCTTGTGTAATTGCTTGAACTTGAATGATGTAGCAGAGTTTTTTTTTTTTTTTTTTTTTTTTTGAAGTTTCTGTCTCTCTCCATATCATTCACTACATATGTAAAAATATTTGTATGCAGAAATGTCAAAGAACTAATCTTATTCGGGAAAATAAGTTTAAAGTGTTCCCAAACTTGCGAACGGCTTCTCTTTCTCGCTGGCTTCATCACAACGACACTAAAATAAACTCAATCCACTCTCAATAATAACGCCAATCCGAACACCGACTAACCCACGGTGTTGCCATGGTTTGGCTTCACTTTTATAAGAAATACAGCCGCCAGGTATCTACAGGAGTGAACCAGTGTGTTTGCTTCAGACGTCATTTTTACGTGACTAGTGACGTAATGATACAAGCTCCGAAGCAGTGGTTCATTGCAAAGACCGTTTGAGTTTGCAGCAAGCTTCGGAGCGTCGGTGTCAGACGTAACATCACTACCTGTTCCTGCTCTGCCTTGTTTGTTTTGGATTGAGTTTGTATGATTGTAGTTTTCTTTTGTTGATTTGTTTATTTTATGTTTTGATCTTTATTAAATACTTCTTCTCTCTGCACTTTATTCCTCACCACGCACCGTGACAAGTTTAAGTATGAGAAACTGGTTTTAACTATGAGAGTTTAAGTATGAGAAACTAATGCAACCACAACTCTCTCTGTCTCTTTACTCTTCCATGGCTTGTGTCGTTCAAAAGAAGATCTATTTTGCATCATGTTGCACACCTTTCATAATAGTGCATCTCAACAAGCAACAGTGATGAAAACATCTGAAATACTTCTCCAGTTCTCCTGGGAAGAGAAGCTGATTCTTCCAGCTTCAGGTCTGATACACGAACATAAGCTCAAAGCCAAGTTAAACTGAGATAAGCTTCCTGGAAGAGTTTTTCTTCTTTTTGAAGCTTGATAAACCGTCTGTTATAATCACCCAGCGGGACGGACTCAAATGCTAAAACAGGTTTAACATGTAAAAAACCTCGACATCCTGTAAAAGCCTGGTGGAGAGATACTGATTTAGTAAAACTTTACCTCATTAAGGTACATCACTGGAAACACCAGCGTCTGGATTTTTCCAGTTTGACTGCAAAACAAAAGAAGAAAATATGTTAAGAATATGTGAAGATGTTTAGATCCACTCATTTAGAGATTTGAGATTCAAGCAATATTTGATGCATGACAGACATATCAGGGTTTATTATTGTTCATAAATCTATTAAAAACTTTTCTGTTACCTGAAATAAAGTAAAATACAATTATTAGTTGAAAAACTTAAACTAAATGAAAATTAGAAATGTTGCATTGGAAATGAACTGAAATAATCAGTAAAATTATGAACTGGAAATAAATAAAAACTAAAACAAAAATTCAATGAAATAAATCGCTATTTGACAACTTGTTAACATTCAATACTATAGGTTTTTGATATTATGAAAAGCTAATTAGATTGAAAAAGATTGTAAATGTAAAATCAAAATAAAACATTAAAATATATTAAACATGTAAAATTCAAATATATTAATAATTAAAAAAAACATAAAAGTAAAACACTTACTAAATATAAACATATATTTTATAAAAAATATAATATAATATTTAAAAGAATTATAATTAAAACAAATAGTGTTAAAATTAAAAACGCCAAAAAAGATATATATATATATATATATATATATATATATATATATATATATATAAAATCATAAAAATGATTCAAATAAAAAAAAATGCATGTTTTAAAATAAAATCCATCAAAATAAATTAAGCCACTAGCTATTTTTTCATCAAAAGTTGCGAATTTAAATTGCATAAAATATTTGTGAATAAAAGCTTTGTTTCTATTCCTTGTGTTCAAGAACACAAAATCGTCACTTCTTGGGAATTTATGTGCATCTTAGCGTTTTCATTCACCATTTTCCCAAAATGTGCATAAGAATAGGTGTCTGTAAACATCAGACGGGCGGGACTGAAGGAAGTCAGTTCACGCCGTCCTTGTGTCATGCTGATAATAATAAATGTGCAGAGATGTTTTCCGTTCACATGCTCATGAGGATGATTTATCTGCGCTGTGACGCTCGGCTGTATTGCAGTTCAGAACTAAGCCAACAAGCTGTCGACTCATTTGGCAGCGTTGTGTCTTCGGTCACGTCATCGGTCCGCCGAACAGACTCCAAAAGTGACCTGTAACACCATGTGTGTCCTAAAATAACTCTGATCAGCTTTAACACGCAGCTGTCAATCATTACAGCTGGAGACAGTGGCCAACTTCAAGTCAGGGTTCATGAGAGGCTTATGTACTGTATTTGTTTTACTGGAGCTCATGTAACCCTGCAAACATGCCTTACTCCATCAAAAGCAGTATACAAGGTATAAATAAGTATATATTTTCGATTTATGATATCAAAGTTAGGTTCCTAGTTGTGTTTTGGAGTCTCCTACAATAGTTTTACATGCATCAGAGGTCAAAAATCTTGCACATCCGTTGCACATCACCTGTCTAAAACGGTTCGTTCTGAAGGGAATGTGAACAGTACTATAGTGATGTTTTGTGATCAGACTCGTCCTCACCTGAAGTACGGGATCTGATGGACGTAGACATTAACCTGAACACGCTTCGCACCCCTAAGCAAGAGTCCCGTGAGCTGAGGACACAAACACACACGAAATGTCATAATTAAATTAAATAAATTAAAATAAAATTAAATCCCAAAAATATTCAAATAAAATTTGAATAAAATTCATGCAAATACTTACTAAAACTATTTAAATCATAAAAATGTATAATTAAAATAATTCATTCAAAAATTAAATACATCAAAATAATACACTAAAAATTAAATCATAAAAATGTATAAAACAAATAAATATTTCTTTTTAAATAAAAACCATCAAAATTGAACCTACTAAAAATGTAATAAATAAATAGTTTTAAAATAAAAAAATATACTTCTGACATAAATAATACTTCAGTGGGTCATAATTCTGACATCAATACCATGGGGAAAAACTGCCATATAGATAGTTTTAATATAATCTCATAATTTGGCAGCAAGTATATTAAGTTTCTGTCACTTTAAGGCCTGATGCACGGATCCATTATACTGTTACACGTTACACACTCACAAACAATTTCTCAAAATGTTTCCTATCACTTAAAGCGTGCAAGAAAACTCGCCAAGCTTGCCATTTTTACATTATTTTGTGTGTATTTGACTGTTTAAGCACAATAATAAAATATCTCACTTTAGTACTTAGAGGTGTATGCACACGCGCTTTGGGTGTGAGTGTCAAAAAACAATATTTTGACACTACAGTGCTGTTATGAACCCAGTATGGGTTATATTTGGGTGTTGTGTGTGTTCTTTCTGTTTGGTTTACAGGAGGGAATTGGAGTGAGTGACGTCATTGACTGAGGAGTTGCACCTGTGTTGGAGCTGATGCCGGCAGTTAAAAGCAGTTCCTTTCAGCTGTGATGGGGCGTGCTCTTCCATCCTCATGCCATTTGCGTTTTGAAGTCTTTATTGTTGTTTTCCGTTTTGTCCTTGTTTTATTTAATTATTCTTACTTTAATAAATGTTATTCTTTTGAGCAAGTATCCAACGTGTTGTCTCCTTCGTTGTCACGGCTTGCGAGCCGGCCGTGACAAGTGGGGGCTCGTCCGCTCGTTTGTTAGATCTTTTAAAAATTCCTGTTATTTGTCGACCTGATTTGAAAGCGTTTTGGTTGCGTTCGGTTATTTTGTAATGAACTTGACACGTTCATTAACTGAACGTAAAATTGGAAGAATGTTTGTTTGAACGCTATTGTTTGGGAGGTCGGATTCGTCGGGTGAAGGAAATGCGCGTTGGATTTGTTTTGACAACGAGTGCTGTATCTGTTTCATGCTGTTTTGTAGGAGCTTGAGGTAAGTGTTTTTTTTTACAGATCCTGTTGTAGGAGGAATATTTAACAATATTTGTGTTCCCTGGTTAGGTTTAGCTGCTCGTTCCCTTTTGGAACGAGTGGATGTGAGGTAATTTTTTTTTATTTTTGTGTGGCGACCGTGAGTAGAGCAGTTGTCTCGGGTGCATATCCATGGTATGAGTGAGTCGCCAGCGTGCTGGTTGCTTTTCTTTGTACTAGTGGGAGTTGGTGCTTAAAATACCCCTCACCAGTAACCACATGAAGATTTTAGGGTTGAGTTAGTTAAATTTTTAGAGGGAACTATTTTATTCCTCCTGCTCTGGTTTGTAAAAAAGACACTTTTTTTTCTAGTTATAATTCTAGGTGGAAAAATGTCTAACGTTAATTTAGTCAAAGAGTTTATTAGTTCTCCTTGTGGAAGTTTGCTTGATTCGTGTACAAAAGATCAGTTATTCGAGATTGCGGATCATTACAAAATTGAACTTGGAGATAAGAGGTTAAAGGATAGTACAATTAGAGAGGTAGTAAAATCAAAACTGATAAAAAAGGCCGTATTGGCTGAGTTGTCCGATACAGCTACCACCTCTCAAGTTAAACCTCATGTCAGCTCTCTAACTTTTGAACAACAGGAACGATTATTGTTGTTGCAGCTTGAACAGGAACGTTTGAAATTGGAAGTAGAGCGTGAGAAAACTAGAAATGAACAGACTAATGTTGAGCTGCAGAGAGGTCGCTTGGGAATGATGAGGCAAAGTGGACTAAATAGTTCAACTGATGATTTGCAGGGTGCTCAAGTGTTTGATACTGCTGGAAATTTAAGGTTGATGCCGAAGTTTAACGAGCGAGACCCAGATATTTTTTTTATATTGTTTGAGCGAATAGCAGAGGCAAAAGGTTGGCCCAGTGAGGAACGTACCATGCTTTTACAATGTGTACTTACAGGCAGGGCTCAAGAAGTTTTTTCTGCCCTGTCACTCTCGGACTGCAGCGATTACGATATCGTTAAAGCGGCGGTTTTAAAAGCTTATGAGTTGGTACCAGAAGCTTATCGACAAAAATTTAGAACGTTGTGTAAGGGTGAAAAGGAGGCTCATGTGGTGTTTGCTAGAGAGCTCACTACTGCATTTAATCGATGGTGTATGGCATCTGAGGTAACCACGTTTGAAGAGTTGTCTAACTTAATTGTGCTTGAACAGTTTAAGAACTCTGTACCTGCTCGTATAGCAACATACATAAATGAGCAGAAAGCTGAAACAACTGCTAAAGCTGCTGAGTTGGCTGATGATTATATTTTAACGCACAAGAGTAGTTTTGAGTTTCGGAAAAGAGATGATAGTTTTGAAGATAGATTAGATCATATGCCCAGGGATTCATCTCTGATCTGTAATTACTGTCGTGGTAAAGGCCATTGGAAAAATGAGTGCCCTGTGCTTAAAAGTAAGAGTAAAGGAGGAAAGGGTCTTTGTGTTAAACCAGCAGGCTTTGTGGCACCATTGTTGAATTCTGTCAGCCTGTCTTCTGAAGGATCTCCTAGAGCAGTTAACCAGTTAAAGGATGGAGATTATGCACCTTTTATTTCTTATGGGCACGTGTCGCTGGTTGGCAAAGAGACAAATGTTCCAGTAACGATACTGAGGGACACGGGAGCATCAGAGTCTTTTATTTTGCAGGATGTGCTGCCATTTTCCTCTGTGAGTGATACCGAGACTAGTGTCCTTATTAGAGGAATTGGGTTAAATATCCTATCTGTCCCATTACATAAAATTAGGTTGTCATCTGAACTTGTGAATGGAGAAGTGGTGGTTGGAGTGCGTCCATCGTTACCAGTGGAGGGGGTGGATATCATCCTGGGAAATAATTTGGCAGGGGGGAGGGTTTGGCCTGTTACCTTTTCACCTCCTGTGGTTTCATCTTTTCCTCTCCCAGGTCCTGATGAGAGCAACAAGAGTTTTCCACAGGTATTTACTGCTTGTGCTGTAACTCGATCCATGACCTCTGCACAGCCAAGGTTAACATCTGATTTTTTGGATGGACCAGCATTTTCCTTGCCTGATGATTTCTCTGTTTCCTCTTCTGATTTGATACAGGAGCAGAAACTTGATCCTTCTCTCCATACATTGTTTGAGAGTTTGATGTCTCCTGATGAAATTAGGCATGTTGCTCAAGGTTATTTTTTGCAGGATGGAATGTTGGTGAGGAAGTGGATTCCTCATGGAAGTGACTTTGCTGGCGATCCTATCTTGCAGGTGGTAGTTCCAGAGAAATATCGATCATTGGTGTTGGAGAGTTCCCATGATAAATTTGCTGGACATTTTGGGGTAAGAAAGACTTATGACAGAATCCTTCGTCATTTTTTTGGCCTAAATTGAAGAAGGATGTGTCTCAATATATCAAGACGTGTCATACCTGTCAACTAATAGGCAAGCCCAATCAGAAGATCAAACCTGCTCCATTGTTTCCGATACCTGCTGTTAGTCCACCTTTTGAGCACTTGATTATTGACTGTGTAGGCCCACTGCCTAGATCAAAATCAGGTAGCATTTATTTGCTCACTGTGATGTGTGCATCGACTCGGTACCCTGCGGCCTATCCCCTCCGTACGATCACTGCCAAATCGGTTGTGAAGGCCTTGACTCAATTCATTTCTATCTTTGGCATCCCAAAGATTGTGCAAAGTGATCGAGGTTCTAATTTTACGTCTCATTTGTTTTCGCAGGTTTTGAGACTGTTGCATATTAAGCACAATAAATCTAGTGCTTATCATGCTCAAAGTCAAGGGGCATTGGAACGGTTCCATCAGACGCTGAAGTCCCTGCTGCGTGCTTATTGTACAGAACTGGGGGGTGATTGGGAGCAGGGATTGCCGTGGTTGATGTTGTCAGCACGTGAGGTGAGCCAGGAAAGTACTCGTTTTAGTCCCAATGATTTGGTGTTTGGACACACCGTTCGGGGACCGTTAGCTGTGCTCCGCGATAACTGGACTGAAGGTACACCGCCTCAGAATTTGTTAAGTTACGTAAGTGACTTTAAGCGGAGATTGTATGAAGCGGGTAGGATGGCAAGAGAACAATTGTGTTCCTCGCAGGGACGTATGAAGACACTTTACGATCGGCGAACTGAGAAACGACAATTTATGCCTGGTGATCAAGTGCTGGCTCTGTTACCTGTGGAGGGCTCACTATTTCAAGCTCGGTTTACTGGTCCGTACGTAGTGGTGAAACAAATTACGGACTTAAACTATCTTATTGCCACCCCGGAGAGAAGGAAGTCAAAACAATTGTGTCACATTAATTTGCTGAAGCCCTATTATTGTCGTTCTCCTAAAGCATTAGAGACCAGAGCAGATGTGAAACCTGCACTGGTAGTTGAGAGTACTTCACCTGTTCCTTTGGAGGGAGAAGTTGATGATGGGGTTTCTTTTCCTGAGGATACGGTGTTGTTGGGACATCTTAAAAATTCGGAGACTCTGAAAAATTTGCATAAAATGTTGATCCATTTAACAGAGAGTGAATGTACCGACTTGATTGCTCTTATTAATCATCACGACTCTCTATTTGGTGATGTACCTTCATGTACACATTGGGCAGTGCACGATATAGATGTTGGGGATGCTGTGCCCATTCGCCAGCATTTTTATCGTGTGTCCCCAAATAAATTCTTACATCTGGCCGCTGAAGTTCAATATATGCTGGATCATGACATTGCACGGCCATCATTTTCCAGCTGGGCATCCCCCTGCTTGCTTGTAAGTAAATCTGATGGAACTTACCGGTTTTGTACCGATTATAGGAAGGTAAATAAAGTGACGAAACCAGACTCCTTTCCACTTCCTCGTCTTGAGGATTGTGTTGATCGGGTTGGGGCAGCAAAATTTGTGAGTAAGTTCGATCTGCTCAAGGGTTATTGGCAGGTTCCGTTGACCCCAAGGGCTCAGGAGATCTCTTCCTTTATTACATCTGAGGGGCTATTTTCTTATAATGTTATGAGTTTTGGTCTCAGAAATGCGCCTGCAACGTTTCAGCGACTTATGAATAGGGTCGTTTCTGGATTGGAGGGAGTCGCGGTTTATTTAGATGATGTGGTGGTTTTTAGTGATTCATGGGAGCAGCACATGAGTCATATAGCACATCTGTTCTCCCGTTTTGTTGAGGCTGGTTTGACCGTCAATTTAGCCAAATGTGAGTTTGCCAAGGCTACTGTGACTTATTTGGGTAAGGTCGTTGGACAGGGTTGTGTTCGTCCAGTTCGGGCCAAGGTTGAGGCCATTGATCTTTTTCCTTCTCCTTCCACCAAAAAGGAATTGATGCGTTTTTTGGGGTTAGTGGGTTACTACCGGGGATTTTGTAGGAATTTTTCCACGGTGGTAGCCCCACTCACTGATTTGCTGAAGGCCAAAGCTGATTTTATCTGGACTTCGGTCTGTCAGGAAGCTTTTGAGTCAGCTAAATCATTGCTTACCTCTGCTCCTGTGTTAGCGGCTCCTAAATTTGATCGCCCTTTTAGGTTGTGTGTGGATGCTAGCAACGTAGGGGCGGGAGCTGTACTGTTACAAGCTGACGATGAGGGGATTCCCCGTTCTGTGAGTTATTTTTCGAAGAAGTTTTCCTCTTATCAGTTGAATTATTCAGTAATTGAGAAAGAGGCCTTAGCGCTGATTTGGGCCCTGCATCATTTCGAAGTGTATGTGGGATCCGTGTCAGATTCTTTGGTCGTGTATACTGACCACAACCCACTTACTTATTTACACTCTTTGCGGTGCCCAAATCAGCGTTTGACTCGTTGGTGCCTCTTCCTGCAGTCCTACGCCCTTGAAATTCGACACATCAAAGGTACTGACAATGTGGTGGCAGACGCATTGTCTAGAGTTCCTCACTCTTTCTAACTGTTTATGAACAAGGCCTTGTCTTGCTTTCCTTTTACTCTCTTAAATTGCTTCTACAAAGGTTCGTGGTTGCTGAGGACAATTGGGGGTAAGATGAAGTTGGTGTTATACAGTAATGTGCGGAGTATCGGGTGAAGGGTTTAGGTTGGGTTTTTTAAAGGTAAACCCTTTTCTAAGGGGGAGGGTGTTATGAACCCAGTATGGGTTATATTTGGGTGTTGTGTGTGTGTTCTTTCTGTTTGGTTTACAGGAGGGAATTGGAGTGAGTGACGTCATTGACTGAGGAGTTGCACCTGTGTTGGAGCTGATGCCGGCAGTTAAAAGCAGTTCCTTTCAGCTGTGACGGGGCGTGCTCTTCCATCCTCATGCCATTTGCGTTTTGAAGTCTTTATTGTTGTTTTCCGTTTTGTCCTTGTTTTATTTAATTATTCTTACTTTAATAAATGTTATTCTTTTGAGCAAGTATCCAACGTGTTGTCTCCTTCGTTGTCACGGCTTGCGAGCCGGGCGTGACAAGAACAAATTGACGTGGTTAAGGGTCAGTAGAACACGTTGACATGTAGTTGCAAAAATGTTTTCTTTTATTTAGAAACATTCCAGCCTTTTTCGAATCAAAATGTTGTGTTCAAGTCTTTTTTAGGTTCTGCATATCAGGAATGACCCATGTAAATGAACCTCTAACCTCAGCCGTTTGATGACTGATGTCTTCTGCGGGGTGTGACGCTGCCCGTGACACATTACGAATGAGTTGTTCTCTGTTAACAAAAGCACAGTCATTTGCAGTACAGAGATGCTAGTGTGCATCATGTGAAACATCTTGCTCTGGTGACAGCATGCTCTCTCTCACTGTGTGGATCTTGAGGTTGGTGCCCTTTAGATTGCCATCTGCTCTGATGGGCTGTCATCTTGGATGGTGCACAGCCATCTGTTTAGTCTACGCAAGTCAGGCCGTATCCTTGGGTTGGAGGAGGAGAGGGAAACAGGATTGATAATGACCTCTGAGGTTTGGAGTTTGGAATGAACACTGCTAGAATCCAGCACCCACTAAACGATAAAAGAAAGAAAAAAAAAATACGGCAGCTGAGGTGATATTAATAATAAGAGGGTGAGGAATTAGCTTGACTGTTTCCCCGGGGCATAGTTCAATTCGTTAAGGCACTGGAGCAAGTTAAATGTGATAAAACAGTCATACATCACTTGCTTTTAAGGCACAACGACCCTCTCTGTCTTTAAACAAGGGTTGTAAAAATTACAGCATTGCAGCTACCCATGATGAAACTGGCTGAAATGCCTCATATATTTTGCTCTAAAATAAAAAAGTGGTTGAATGTCTAATGAGCTAATCGAAATAAAGCTGTTTGATGCTCTTTGAGAAACACAATGTTCCCTGAGAGTTGTTTAATGCGAAACAATTGGCACTGAACGTCCACTTATTAATAGAGGAAAACAGGTGTCATGCAGATAGAGTGATGAAGACAGTCAACTGATTAAATTGTTACATTCTGAAACATCTTATTAAGCGTATTGTGTTAATATGGGATCATTAGGCTTTGCACGCTGATTGAATATGAACTGAATAATTGAAATCAATAATGACCAGTCAAAATGCTTAATGAAGGTGAATTCTTTAATAAACTTTCCATCATATCTAGTGCCTATATTCTACAATGCTGTTATAACGACATTGCTATTTTTAACCCTCTTTTCTAAGCCCAAATTTGCGTTGAAATATATACACAATATATATTTTCCAACCATCTCATATTTTTTCCATCATCATGTCCCTTTAGGGTCTCCATATAAAGGACGCGTAAGAAAATTTCTTATTGTTAGTAATAATTCAAGATGAACAATTACTGGACTGATACATCATTTTTTAGAAAAGCACGTTAAAACGTGAGTATCAAATATGATAGATCATGCGTTTTAGGAATGTTTAGGAATGTAGGAATGCCCCGGAAATTTGATCATATAAGCACTCAAATATAATCTTGAGGAAGTTTATTTAACAAAGTTCAGGAGGAGCACGTTTAGGTAATCCAACCAACAAGTGGTAACACTTTACAATAAGGTCTCATTTGTTAACAGTAGTACCTAACTAACTAACTAACTATAGTTTATGTAACTAACATGAACCAAGAATGAGAAATCCATACGTTGCACTATTTTATAATCTTTATTAATGTTAGTTAATCTAGCTGTTCATTGTTTGTGCATGTTAGTTCACACTGTAAAAAATAAAATTTTCAAGACTTGTTATCACAACATATTTTCTTTTGTCAAATCAACTTTATAATAATTTATTTAGTTGAGATAACTTATTATTTTGAGTTTCTGATGGTTAAATTAATCTCCTTCATTGTATTAACTCACTTTTTCCAGTTCAATCAACTTAAAATTGTAAAGCAACCCAGGTTACTTACTTTTTTAAGTTAAACCAACAATATTTTTTTTACAGTGTAGTAATCACAACATTTTTTCTTTTGT